TGAACTCATGACCCTGAGATCAAGACCTGAGCTGAGACCAAGAGGCAGATGTTTAACTGGCTGAACCACCCAGGTGACCCCTTGAATAAGATATTTTAAATTACGAATACTGTAAATTAAAGTTTAGAGAAAGGGAAAATATTACCTTAGTTTAAGAATTTAGGGGCTCCTGGGTGGCTCAGTCAGTTGAGCGTCCGAGTTTGGCTCAGGTCATGAAATCACGGTTTATGGGTTCAAGCCCTGCATCAGGCTCTGTGCTGACAGCTCAGAGCCTGGAGCCTATTTAGATTCTGTGTCTCCCTCTCTCTCTGCCCCTCCCTCACTCGTGCTCTGTCTCCCTGTGTCTCAAAAATAAATAAACATTAAAAAAAAATTTAAACAAACAAAAAAAAGAATTTAGTATCTTAGGTGTTTTTTCTTTTTATAACATGGATTTACATTTTTAAGCTGTAATTACAGCGCTCATTATATTTTGTATCCTTTTTCTCTTCATATTTCATTTTGTAAATTTTTCCATATTGCCATAGTATATTGCTCATTTACATATTTACTAAAATTAAAAAAATTGTTTTTAAAAATTAAAACATTAATTTTATTTTTTAATTTTTAAAGTGTATTGCTTTTAATATTTAATGGTTTATTGAATATCTGTTAAGTAGATACTCCTTTAAGTAGGTATTCCATAGTTTCTTTAACCATTTCATACTATTTTATATTTAAGTTCATTCTGTCAACAAATTTTTATTTGAGTTACTTCTGTCTGCTGGGTATTGTTTAGCACTGGTCCTAGAGCATTAATTAAGACAGGCAAGGTTCCTACTCTCAAGAAATAGAGTATGTTTAATTTTTTATGATTATAAACAACTCTAGTAAGGTAACTTTTTAAATGCTGTGTTATTTGTTGTGAAAGCTAGAAAATCCTTTGAAATCACCTTGAAACTACAATGTCGTCTGTCTTAGGTAACATTTAACTTTATCCCGTATGTATGTAATAGAAGCATTAGAGAGCAGGATAGTCTTACCTCCAACATTTTTACTTGAAGTCAGAGTGTCTATGAGCCAAGAAGTCCTGGTCCATCTCAATAGCAACCTCTATGTTAGATCACTCTATAACTCTTAAAGGACTCTAGAGTCCTTTAGCTGGCTGCTGGGTGTATTTGGAAGATTAGTCTTCAGAAGTCTTGAGCAAAGATAAGAAATGGGGGTAAATATCAAAGTAGGCTATACCAGTTAATTATAATGGAATTATAGTCGTCATTTATATGTTTTCTTACAGATTGTCAGTTGAACAAGTACAAAATTTGAGATCAGAGTGTATGGGACAGGAAAACCAAATAAAAAAGTAAGTGACTTTTAGATTAGAGCTGAAAGTTGCCTTAGTTTAGCTCCTGGATTTTACTAGTAAGGAAACTGAGGGTCTCAGAAATATCAGTTAAAATAGTGTTATCAATAGCTACATGATAGGATTAGAACATAATTCGATTCCTAGTCCAGTTCTTCTAATAAATTTATTGCTTTGAGCTAGAATTTCATTTTTGTTTTTATTGTTTATTTTAATTTATATATTTATTTGAGAGAGAGAGAGCATGCGCGTGCGTACACAGGTAGGGGAGGGGCAGAGATAGAGAGAGGGAGAAAGAGAATTCCAAGCAGGTTTTACACTGTCAGCGCAGAGCCCAACCTCACGAGCTGTGAGGTCATAACCTGAGCTGAAGTCAGATGCTTAACTGACTGAGCCACCTGGTGCCTGATTTTTGTTTTTAATTAGAATGGTTTTTAGTGAGTGGGTTTGTAGATCTGTTTGCTTTTTGGGTGGTAAATTACCATGTGATTTTTAAAGAATGGCTAATGAAATAATTTAATTTTTAACCAGAATGGAACCCTATGATGACCAAAGTAATATACAAGAGAAAATCCAAAAGGTGAGGCAACTTTTTAAGGGACAGATTTAATCTCTTACTTTTGTCATATGTGATCTTTACTCATTTGGACTCTTTATTTTGTCTTTATCATTTCTTTTTGTAAGACTGTTACTATTTTTTAAAACTCATAAGTGATATATTACAGTGTCAACAGGATGCTTCTAAAAAGCATGAATATAATTGAAAAATTAGCTTATAATTTGTAAGACTATATACAAAGGCAGTGTTAAATATTGTTAATTTAAAATCTTTCATGTCAGCAAGAAAAGTTGAGCCTGATTGATTGTAACTTAATCAGTAGTATTAATTTATCTAAATCAAATATGTTATCTGAAGGGAGATGGTAAGTATGGAAGAAAAATGAGAAGTCACATTGAGGCTGGCTTGGCAGTAGGGAGGAATCTGCTAGATAGACATAAATGATACGAGGTTTTCAGAGGTTGGCTTTGATGTGAGATTGGAGTGTTTTCTTAGGTCTTTGTGTGTAGATGAAATCTCTGTCCAGCTCCTTGTTCTGCTTTTATGATCACCAGGCTGCTTTGGGTGTTAATTTGGCTTTCCAGGCATTTTGTCACTGGAAAAGGTGAGTGCCCTCCTCAGGAAATAATTATTCATCCATTCAGTGAATTTTTTTTTTTTTTAATGTTTATTTACTTGAGAGAGGGAGAAAGAGAGCGAGAGAGAGGAAGAAGGAACATGAGTGGTGGAGGAGCAGAGGGAGAAGGAGAGAGAATCCTAAGCAGGCTCAGTGCCGTCAGCGCAGAGCCCGACATGGGGTTCAATCTCATGAACAGTGAGGATCATGACCTGAGCTGGAATCAGGAATTGGACACTTAGCTGACTGAGCCACCCAGGCGCCCCCCAATTCATTGAATTTTTATTGATCACTGCCATGTGCCAGGCATTCTTCTACATATTATACCTACAGTAGTGAAGGAAAGAGGCAAAGTCACTCTTTTGTGGATCTTCCAACTTAGTGAATATGAATATTCCTATTACTGAACATTATATCTTTGATTGTAAATTTAATAGGTTGAGGTGAAACATGTTAAAGTTTTCACATTGATCTCTCCTGAGTTTGTTTAATGTTCACTTTGCCCAAATCCAGTCAGTTTTTAGCCATTGACAAGATAAAAGTAAATTTGATAATCAGATCCTGGATCTTTGTTCACCAAAGAAATGTCATCCTGTGAGACCTCTAGACCATGGGAAGACAAACACAAACATGGGTATAATTATTCTATTTACCTACCTACCTCCCACTTTTATAAATTCTTTTGAGGCATTATATACAAACAAAAAAGTGCAAAAATCTTAAGTGTATATCTTGAAAAAATTTCACAGAGTGATACACCCATGTAACCAGCATATAGTTTAACAGAACATTATTCCAGAAGCCTCAAGCCCCTTTTCATTCACAACCATTTCCTCCCCCTAAAACTAAATACTTTCCTCCCTTCTTAAAGATTTATTTGCCTTTTTTGAACTCTATATAAAAGGGAGCATATAGAATATATTTTTTTATATTTGTCTTCTTTGACTCATGCTGTTTTATCCATGCTGTTGTGTATGTAGGTCATAGTATGTTCCTTCCCAATACTATGTAGTATTCTATTTTATGAGTATAGCACGACATACTTTTTTTTTTTTTACTCTAGGTAAACTTTTGGGTTAATTGCAATTTTTGATTTTTACAAATATAAATGTTATGAACATTCTTAAAAAATTTTTTTTTGTTATTTCAATTGAAGTATAGTTGACACATAATGTTAGAGTAGTCTCAGGTGTATAGCATAGTGATTGGACAACTGTGTTATGCTGTGTTCACCATAAGTATAGCTACTGGGACGCCTGGGTGGCTCAATTATTTGAGCGTCTGACTCTTGGTCTTGGCTCAGGTCATGATCCCAGAGTCATGGGATTGAGCTCCACATAGGGCTCTGTGCTAAGTGTGGAAACTGCTTAAGATTCTCTCTCTCTCTTGTTCTCTCTCCCCCTCTCTCCCTACCTTCCTCCCTCTCTCCCTCTGTCCCCTGCTGTAGTGTATGTGCGCTTGCTTTCTCTCTGAAATAAACAAGTGTAGCTATCATCTATAAACATACTTATATATGAATTTTAATGAACATAGACATGTTAATATATGCCTAAGATTCTTTGCTTTTTTTTTTTTTT